TTAAAATTTGGGTTCTTAAACTATACTGTATGGAGATCCTTGGTTCCAAAGGGCAAGTGTCCCAGAAAATGTAGCCAGGAAATGGCTAAACTAGTCAGGTGGAATTATGAATAGAGAAGGTGAGGCAGCTCAGAAAGACTGTCTTGGAAGCCTGTGTCTGAAAGATAAAACCTAATGCATTAAAGGAATTGGGACTTAATTAAGTCACTACTCTTGGGGGACATGGCCCGTCCAGTTGATGCTCTTAGTCAGAAATCCTTTCCTTAAGTTGGACTTCTCTCACATGGAAGAAGAAAGGAATCACAAGAATCTGGGTGACTTGGCTCAAGCCTCAGTAGTCAAGTGATAGTTAATCCCTCAGTGGATCTGGTCCAGGCAATCTACAGGTAGAAATGGTAAGTGTTACTCTATCCATTTCTCCTAACCACACATTCCTTTAAGAAGTTGTTTATGTATCTGGTATGTGTTTTATGGGATAAAATTACTAGATGGTGTTGTTATTTCAAATCAGCAGTCATTTGGAAATAAACAGACAATGACATGAGATGATACCTCAGGAAAAATGTTTCTGCTATGAAAACAAAGTGCTTTCTAGAGAAAGTGTTGACAAAATACAGATAAAGCCACATTACTGTTACTTATGTAGCATGGTACACCTCCTGCCACAGTTTGGAGGTGGAATTCAGATGGCTACTGAAGAGGAAAAGTGAGTAGGAAAAGCTTCCACCTTTAAATACAACAATGGTAATCATACAGGATATCTGAAGTATTTTTGTTCTGCAAAACAACAGGTTATTCTCCAAAGAATATATTCTTGGGATCTCTTAGCACCAAAAAAAAAAAAAAAAAAGTTAAATAACTGCCTTCCTTGTATAAAATCACCTTACACCTAGAGCTGAGGTCTGCACAGTTACACACATGTACTTAGCTCCAAGTAGTGAGCGTAGCTCCAGTGAAGAAAAGAGGAGTTCTTCCCTATGCTAAAAATTAATGGCGTGGCGACATCCCAGTGCCACTGGAGAGATTATCACGGCCTTTCCTGCTCAGATGCGTTTTCCACTGCTTCCCTTAGACCTTTTTCTTCTCGGATGTGAAAATACAGAAAAGTTTCACGGATGCAGAGCTGGCTCGGAGCTCTGGGACCAGTAGATGGCAGCAAGAACACACTGAAAATGCATTCCCAGCACAGCCCGTGAGCCTGGGAAGTGGCACAACTTCAAATGGATTCAATATTTGTCTTTCATATTTGGAGAGTGAAAAGTATATGTGACAATTAGAGGGTAATGCAATATTACAGTGCAAATAAGAGAGTGAAATTACTGTGTAACCACTGAACAGTTCCCGATTTAATTTGTTTGTGCTGACCAAACTTCTTTGCAATTGCAAACTCACCTCTGAGGGACTCCGAGGGATGGAGATCTGACTCCTGCCAGCCAGCCGAGATATTTTGTAAACTGGGCTTCCTCCTCCGTAGCGCTTTCTGTGCAGAACAGAGGGGAACTAACACTGCTTTTAGGCTGAAAAGTTGCAACAATCTGCAAATGAATGAATACATAGACAAGTGCGATTTTTTTTTTCCAAAGGGAGGTCGGGTCTGGGCTGACTCACCGTGTATCGTAGTAATTGCAGAGATGGAATGCAACAGCTCCAGAAAAAAAAAAATTCTTAAAGCATGAATACATAGACAAGTGCGATTTTTTTTTTCCAAAGGGAGGTCGGGTCTGGGCTGACTCACCGTGTATCGTAGTAATTGCAGAGATGGAATGCAACAGCTCCAGAAAACTGCCAAACATTAAATGTAGGCACCCGGGAGGCAGCTGGGCTTCTTAATTATTGGCAAATATATTTATATATAAATATTTTGCCAAGCGTGATTTGGCTTAAGAGTTCCTGTGAAGTGACCTTTTGCTTTCCTTTGTTTTGTGTCTGTACACATGTCCTAGATAGATACATGGGAAGAGAGGCAGAGTCGCACAGAGATAAATAAACGGATTTCACACAGCCCTCCGGAATCCCAAACGATGTCTAAATTCAACAAAGAGGGATGTGAAGCGCAGCAGAAGTGCAAGCACAGATTTCAGAACTGTGAAAATATGTCAGCAGAGCATCATTTTTTTGGTTCAGACTGATAATCACTCCCTGCACTCATTATAAGATCAGAAGGGCCATCTGTCCTCTCTGGATAATTTGGAGCTCAGATACAGTGAGCACCCTTGTTAGAAAATGACCCTCCTACTCTCTGTAATCACATATACTTGCAGCCCTGGGATCTGTATGCAGCCGGGGAGGAACAGATTGGTTCCAGAGCAGTATTGATTGCATATAGATTTGTGGTGTATTTGGTGCCTTATTTTGGTGAGAAGGTTTGTATTTCGGAGGGGAGACGTGGTTTGTTTCCTCCCTGGATTTTCCAGCCTGTCACCTTCAGTTCTTCGGGCTCCCTTCTCGAGATGTAACGCTAGGACGCTGCAAGAGACCAGGGAGTATCTTGGTTTTGTAAGGCGAGCAATAAGCACCAGTCGGAACAACACAGCTTGGGAAACTGTCTCCTAATACACGATGCCTATTTGTCTGCAGTGAGCTGTTTCCTCTTTTATATACGGTAATTCCCGAGTGAGAGGCCGGCTCATTCAACAGCCGCAGCAGAGGGATGTCAAATTCAGGGATTCTTCAGCCTTTGCTCTGAACCCGCAGATAAAACAAGTCATAGCGACTTTACTGACACAGGACAAAGTCATTAGCCGAAGGGGAAAATCTTGGCGGGGGAGCATGGGCTACCTTCCTCTCCTCACCCAGATTCAGTGACATAGACCTGTGACCCCCCCTGAAAATTACAGTTTCCAACCAAGGAGAAAACTTGATCACCGGGAGGGCAGGAGCGGAGTGAAGGTACACTTTTTCGGGGGAGGGTCCTTGCAGTAATAGTTCTTCTGGGACTATTCCTGCGGTAACCAGTGCGTTATGTATCGCTAATAGCAGGAAAAAAAAAAAAAAAAGATTACAACCAGGACGGGCAGTTTCAGGACATTAAAAAACGGGGGAAAGCCCGGGGGGGGGGACATGCAGCTAATTCTGGGGCTTGATTTCCTTGCATCCCAGTATGGTCCTGGGTGGAGTTCAGAAATCTGTAACCCTACAATTAACCAGAAAGGACAGTTTCAGGACATTAAGACACGGGGCAATCGCAGGTGGGAGGAATCCGATTTTAGAGCTAAGAGCTTCGTCGCCTCTACCGACCCCGCTGTAAGATACTTGGGATTTCAAGAAGTAGTTTATTATTATTATTATTCTGACGGTTTATTCTCATTTGTAAGACAAAGATGCTTAGTATTCACCGAGGAGTAATGAGGTGGCATTTGAACCCACCCCCTTACCCCGAGCCGGAGACAGGGGACAGGGTTCCTATCTGCACAGAGCTGCTGCTGGCAGGCTGCGGTGCACCAGCAGAGGCCGTTCCCCGAGGAGAAAACGGGCTCGGGGTGCCGGGGGTGCCGAAGGGGCCGGGAGGGCCGGGAGTGCCCACAGGGCCGGGGGTGCAGAGAGCGGCGGCGGCCGCGGGGTCCCCCCTCCCCGGGCCCTCCAGGGCACCTCCGCAAGGGCTGCAAAGCGACCGCGGCCATCCCCGGGGGCGGGCGGGTATTCAGCGACATTTACAAACTCAGCCGACTTCAGACCACGGTGTTAGACCAGGGAACGGACGCTACTCCCCCGGCGACATATCCCAAGGTTGCACTAGGGACGAGGGCGGGGTGGGGGGCTGAGGACCCCGGGCTGGGGGCGGGCAGCGCCTGGGCACACTCGGGGAGAGATTTAACAGACATCCCAAGCCTGCGTTGGTTGGCGCT